CTGGGGCAGCTGCTGTCGCTTGGAGGAAGAATTTTATGCTGGCATAAAGTGTACTGGCCAGGACAGTGAGCCACAGGGCCCAGCACAACCAGTGAGAGCGGCTCGTGGGGGAACTGTGACCACCATCTGCGGGCGCTGTCTGATTATCCCACCAACTGTCTCAGCTGGGGATGAGAATGAGCTGTGAAGGACACGCAGAGAGCAGCAGGCAGAAGGGCACACGAGGCCACGCTGACAGCCACGGGGAGAGCCGAGTACTGTACCTGCTTATTATTGTCAGTGGTGCAACACAGCTTCTTGAGTGAGACAAAATGCCTAATTTTCCTAATAACATAAATAATCAGTGATTAGTAAGTCAGACAGGAGACCATTCAACAACTCAGCAAACGAAAACATTGGCAGAGTCTTAAAGCAGAACTCAAGGGTTTCTCCTAGGGTAGATTTAGAACTGACAAAAACCCAAGCCACAGAAACACATTTCCCACACGAACACCCCGTGGACCACAGGAGGAAGGAGCCACAAGCTCCTCGCTGGCCCCCAAACTTTCCCGGGTGCTTCCCTTCGTAGCTGCCTCCTGAAGTTTGGGGCCTAGGTATCGTCGGCGATAGGATGAAAGGCTAAGGCCGATAAACTGGTTTTAATTCTGCTGACATGAATAATTTTACTGCTTCTACAAAAAGCAAAAGACTCATTTGGACAACATCCAAATTTCGGGGTTGCTTCTTTTGTATTAAATATTCCATACTATTTCACACTGTGGTTGCCTTAAGAGAAGTATTTTCTTTTTCAGGCTACAAAAAATCCTCTTATTTCAAGGCCATGGACAGCACCCTAAATCTCAGCCTGTGGTCTTGCTCACTGTTAGCAAAACATAGCCTGTGCTGCAGCTCTAGGCAAAAGTCAACTCAGGGTGGATTTTCTCCTGAGAGCAAAGGCATCAAATCCAGAGATTATGTTAGACTCTACATCCCAGAAGGATCTGGGTTATCCTATTTCTTTATCTTTCTCTGGTTCACTTTTCCCTGGATGATGCTAAAAAGAGCATAGAAAGTACAGGCTAATTTGTAATGAGCTCCACTCCAACAGGAAAGGGGTAAAATTTCCCTACTTTTAATCAGACTTGCCTCTGATCGCTCACTGCCTACAATTAGGGGAAATAACACTGAAATTGTGTCTGGATAAAAGAATTTCTCTCTCTCATCTGTCAATCAGAAAAATTTATTCTGACAGAAATTACTAGGTAATAGGATGACTTTTCTGCTTTGGTTACCCAAAGATTCCGGACACACACACACACACTCTCACACACACACACACATGCACTCATGAAGTGAATGTTAGCTTCCGTTTCCTGAGAAGATGGTCTAAGTATGATAAAAACAACATGGCTGCCAAGGGTATTATCTTCTTCCTGGGGCTCTGCGCACTGACCACTGGTGGGGATGGCCACGCTGAAGCCAGGCCTGTCAGGATGAGGGCCCAGGGCAGCCTCTGCCGTGGTGGGTGACCCTTGGTTTGAGGCCTATCTGTGCCCACGACCTCCAGCCCAAGGGAGACACAAACTACAAAACAGCACAACATAGCTAGCAGTCAGTGGTCTCGGAATTTACAAGAGGAAGATTCTCAGACTAAGTGAACAGGTAAAACTAAAGGTGAAACAATCTACCAGTAGTTTTGATTTTGGGGACTGTTGAGTTTTCTGACCATACAATTTCAAGGGACTCAGACAGACGTGAGAGTCACAGGTAAGACTCTCCTGGTTCCAGTTATTGGCATGAAAACCGCTATCTTGTTGTCGTTGTTGTTTTTCAAAATGTCCCACAGTATGTGTTCCATGTAGACTGAGACACATATGCTGTGTTGACCTTTGGACTCACTGACAAGGGCTCATCAGCGAGGTGATATCAGGGATCCTGCTAGGCTTGGGGAACCTTCCCACACAATTGAACTGGGAGAAGGAAGAGCAACTGCACATTCTTCTTATTTCTTTGCAAATAAACAGGTCTCCAGGGACCATCTGAGATCCCTGGGGGCAACACTCTCAGCATCTTCCCTCCCTGGTCCTGGGTCTTGGGAACAGAAGGACCACATGTGATCAAGTCGGGGTGGGAAGCTGTGGTGTGGGGTGAGGCTCTGCGAGAGACCTGGAGCAGGAGCAAGGGGAGGGAGACCATGGTGAGGGCTGCAGCTGACCAGGAAGAGATGCCTTTGGTACCACTGACAGCACAGCCCCAGTCCTGCGTGGACCTAGGCTCACACTAAAATTCCCCTGCCAAGCCAGTGCCCACCCGAGCCCCGTGTGCTCAGCAGCAGTGAAAGAGTGGAAGAGTTCGCTCTCACCCTCCTTGGCCAATCACTGGGGTGATCTTCACGTGCTGTTGGATGCTGTCCCCGGACTTCCGTTGGGCATAGTAAACCCCCTGCCACTCCTAATGGACAGAGACAGCTCTTGAAATCCCTCTGTCAATGCACACAGCTGCTTCTACAGAGGCCTTCACGAGCCGAGCGAGAAAGTACCCACGAGCTTTTGTGACATTTCTACAAATTGTGCTGGATCTCTGCACCCATGCAATGCTGACACTGCCACAATGCATAAAGACAAGACAGAGCAATGTGTCCCCTGTCAGGTGCCTCTTCTGGGAGCCAGGACACCTAACTGGGGGTGGAATTCCTGCCCTCAGCCCTAGTGGTGCCATAGTGCCAGGTCTGAGAAGTCTGGCTGAGACATTCACGACTTGCTATCATCATCCTTAATTTATAGATGGGTAAACTGAGGCTCGGAGACTCTAAATGAATGGCTCACATTAGGAAGCAGAGGGTCTGATTATTAATTTGCATCTCTTCACCTCTCCCTGAGCCTCCCCCTCAGCTCTTGGACACTCTAGGGGCCTCCCAGCTCAGGCTCCTCACAGTTCATGGTCTCTGGACACCAGGGATTCAGTGGGGAGAAGAGCAGGCGACACTGGGGGAGCCCCAGCATTGCACGATTTCCGCGTCAGAGAGATTAAGAGAACTCCAGGTTCTCTGTGGCCATTTCGTGCCCCCTCCCTCAGGATGGAGCTAACAAGCATGTGCCCTGCTGCTGCCAGCTGTGTGGCTGAATCCTTTGGGCAAAATTTTTGCGAGTAGTTTACAAATGTCTTGTTTTCTTTTTCAAGTCTTCTTGCTCCACTTGTTAAAAAAAATAATTTTGACCGTCATCTATAATCCACTGGGCTACAGCGAGCTCATGGCCAACCTGAACTGCAGAGCAAGACCCTGTCTCCAAAAGACAAAAAAAAAAGGCCCCTATTCAATGGAGACCGTGGTCAACAAACCGCTGTATGATGGATAAAGGAAGGGAGAAGACAGAGTCAGGAGGTGTCTGGGTTGCCTGAGGGCCGCACCTCCCAGGAGGACTGGGATGGGGGAGCAGCCCCTCCTGCCTGTGCCCAGAGGACCAATGCAAGGGCTTGAGGCGAGTATCGGGGCAGAGGGCTCTCCTCGTGAGGACCGAACAGGGAACAGCGAACAGCGATGAGGACAGAGAACAAATGGACACCTATGGAGAAGCAGAGCCCACCCTCAGTATGGACGCTGGGTTCTAGTCCCTTACAGGCTGCTGAACTGAGAACACAGCCGCTCTCAGGGTGGACCCTGCTCAGAGGCAGGTGTGAAGTCCCAGCAATGAAGGGGACCTGTTCATCTGGGGAGGGAGGCCCTTCACAAAACTGTGTCCCTGGCCGGGTGTGGTGGCGCACGCCTATAATCCCAGCACTCAGGAGACTGAGGCGGGAGGATTGTGAGTTCGAGACCAGCCCGGGCTACAAAAAGTGAGCTCAAGGCCAGCCTGAACTGCACAGCGAGACCCTGTCTCAAAAAGACAAAAAAGAAAACCAAAACAAAACAGTGTCCCGTATCATCACGACAAGTACCAGACTGACCTGAGAGCCCAAATGCACTGACGGAGATGTCCTCCTAGACATCAGAGATGTCCCACCTAGCTGCGTTGCTATTAAAGAAGCCAAACAAAGGACAGATAGAAGTGCTCCTTGGGAGCGGGGCGTGGACTGTTCTCGTCAGCTCACCTACCTTTCCCTTCTTGATGCAGGTATTGATGGTGTCAAGAAGGTCTGCCCGGTTCTTGTCGCTCTTGGGCAGCTCGGCAAGTTCTTTCCCCAGGAGCTCCCCTTTGTGGTAGCCCATCATCCTCTCGAAGGCTGGGTTGACATACTGTCGGGGAGGAAGTGCACATCGGCATCCATGGGACCCTTGCTGGACACAGCAGCACCAAGCAGCAAGCTCCAGGGACAGCCGCTCTCCAGTGCAGGTGTGCTGGCCCCGCGGTGCCCCACCTGCCAGAGTGCGGCCTCGCTCCTGGGCAGCGATTTACTCATTCCGCTGTCCCTGCAGGAAACTGGAAGAAACCCCTCAGAGGGACAGGGCAGGCAGTCCTCCTGGAGCAATCCCAGGCTTTGGTGTGCCTCATTCAGCACCTACTGCCCCATGAAACCAGGAAAATCTCAGAAGACCAAAATACAAAGGTAGCTTTATAGTACAACACTTGTCCAGCACTACAAAGTAAGTAGGTAGGTCCATTAGAGCTCAGTGCGTATCTGTGCCAGGCAAAGATCTGACCCCACACCTCCTTGCACATCTGTTAGCGCACAGTTGGGGCTGCTTCCAGGCTGATCTGAACCACACACACAGGTAGGCGGCAGGGGGCAGCCCTTGGCGCTGGCAGGCAGTCGGAAAGAGAACCCTGCTTGGGCGCCCAGTAGCCTCCTGGGGAGCTAGGATTTGGAGCTGGGGCCTTCGCTGACTCCCAGCTGCACCTACCAGTCTCTGTCCAAGGGCCGTGGTCACCAGGTGAGAAGAGGTGTGGGGTCAAGGCGTGCAGCACGTGGGAACATGAGCCCCCTGCACCTGGGTCATGGTTTTCTTTGGGCTCAGTTTCCAGGCACCTGCAGCTTCAGAGGCATTCCCACTGCAACTGTAATTACTCCTGTGGTCCACTGGGAGGACAGTGGTCATGAACTAGGTGACCCTGGACACCCGGGGAGCTGCTGCCTGGGGAGAACTCCTATTCACACGCCTCATGCCAGAGCCAAGGGCCAGCAGGGTGCTCCGGCCATTGGGCCCATGGAGGGGGCTGAAGAACAGGGGTCGTGACACTGTCTTTACAGAGTCCCAAACCCCCTGGGCCTGTCCCCAGTGGGGGTGGTCACACGCAGTGCTCACAAGGCTGGACCCCGTGACCCCTGTAGGCTCCGAGGTCCCCACACATCTCCCTCCTCTCTGGGCCTCACACAGGTGCTGTCTGCCTTGAGGGCCTTCTTCGTCTCTGCCTCACCAACTCAGCGCCACAGTGCCCCTCTCCTCCTCCTCCAGGATGCCCTCCTTGACCTCTGCCCAGTCCCACTTGGCGCCTCTCCCAAGAGCTTCCCGTGAGTCCTGTGCAGAGTCTAGTGACTTAATTACATGGATGAACTCTTTAAATCTCTCTCCCATTAAACACCACTTAAAGACCCCCAAGGCCAAGGCCCTTTTGGAGTTATCTCTGGGTAATCAGGGCTGTTTAGTATACAGCTGAATGGAGGTTGTACTGTTTTCCTTATTGTTGGCTACTGTCCTGTACATTTTCACGTGTGTGGTTGTAAATAAATATAGGTAGCAGTCACGGGCCTTTTTTCAATTAGGGATCCTGTGGCCTCAGAACACAGCAGGTACCAGGAAATGACCCAGACTCCAGGTGCCCAGATTCAAACTCTGGCTCTGCCCATGACAGGCTACAGAACTGCGGGGAAATTGCTTAACTTCTCAGGTCCTAGGTTTCCTCAACTGTACCCTGGGTGCAACAGTAGTACCTGGCTCACAGGGCTGTCTTAGAGAATAAATGAATATGTATTATATTATTGCATATATTATATATATTCATGAATATAATATATTATAGATTCATATATATTTGTGAATATAATGTGTATAAATTGCTCAGAACTGTGTCTGGTACAAGGTAAGTATCATAGCAATGTTTAAAGCAAATCCAGTGTAGATAAATGGAAGAGGGAGATAGAGAGATAGGTAACAGGTAATATTCTTTTCAGTACTATGACCGAGCCTGGAAGAGCTGGACTCACAAAGAGGCACGAACTGTTTAGCTGGTGCGCTCTGAGAAGGATGCTGATGTCACGCAGGAGCATACAGAAAGCATACTGTCCAACATGACTCGTCCTCGAGACCTATATGCAAAGTCATGCTAGTGTCCCCTGCCACATCACACTCTGTTCAGCTTCTCCCGCTTCCTCTTGCTTTGAGTTCTACATTTCAGATTGCTGGTGCCTCTTTAAAAGTAGCACAAAGAGAGTCGCTGAGGAAAAAACTGCTCTACCTTATTCAGAATCCTTTCAGTGCACGGTTGTCCCTCCACCTCCCCTTTACAGGCACTGGCTATCCTCAAGCCCCTGTTCTTTCTGCTAGTGTGGAGGCCAAGAGGCGCTTTACGTCACAGTGTGGTACTGTCACCACATTACCTCCTCTGTCTGGGGTCAGGGTTTGCCAACTATGAGTTGCTTGTTGTAGGATGAAGGACGTGGTCCCTGTTCAGGCAGAGATGGCAGGTAAAGTGTAGGAAGCCCTGGCTCCTCACCACTTAAATCACAATCTAGCTCCCCACTGCAGAATAGGGTGGTGCAAGGCACACGTGTGTCCTGAATAGAACTGACACAAGTGCTTGGTCTCTAACAGGGACGTCCCTGGCCACCTCTGCAGTCCAAGGGGCAGCACTGTTCAGTAAGTCAGTAACAGAGGCCAGTAACAGCCGGCATTGAAGACAGCTGCAGATCCATTTCAAGGGGTAGCAAGGAACAGTCTAAAAATACAGACAAATAGCAACCAGGCAGGAAGGCTCTGGAGTCAGAGACCCAGCTCTTTGTTTTGGTTTCAGCGCTTGTGACTAGGGCTTCTTGGATAATTCCTTGACCTTGCTGGGTCACAGTTCTCCCCTGGACTCTCAGCCAGTCATGTCTCCTTCCTAATGTCACCGAATAGGTCCACTGGGGGCGGGCAGATGAGAAACAGCATGTATGGGAGCATGCCTGACCTACTCTACAAACCTGATGCAGGCAGGCCAGCACCAAATAGTGTAACGTCTACATTTCAGAGTATTTTTAAGTGTAGATGTTTTGTTCTGCAACAGTTAAAATAAGAACACTTCATTTCACCAAAGGTTTTTCTACTATCCAGATTTCTTTAGGGAGATAACATCAGTATAAGAATGCTTTATAATTAAATACCAACCATAAATAAATGAATGTGTCTTTGAAAACATTCTGTTCCTATAGACTTTGATAAGCATTTGTTCTACAGATCTGATTTACTTTTGTGTAGATACTGTCTTTTTTTTTTTTTTTTGGTACCAGGAATCGAACTCACAACCTTGCACTTGCCAGGTAGGTGCTGTACCACTGAGTTATAGCCCCAGCCCTGTAGATACTGTCGTGACCAATGGCCCAAAGAATTTACCACATCTCTGTCAAGGAAATCACAGGTTCCAATCTGAGTAATTTTTATTGTTTATTGAATATCTTATTCTTAAGTCTATCAGTATACTTTGCCTACTTTGATTCTCCTTTCTTCAAAGAAAATGTGTTTATATGTGAGGGTTATGGGAAAGTACTTGATAAAGGACAGCTCCAACCTGAAAGGTTCTACTTTGATATCTAAAGATATAAAGTGTTTCTTTCCATACCTGAATCACATGGTCATCACTTGTTATTTCTATGGCTTCATGACAGTGGTCTAACGCTGTAAACACTGAATTACAGGCCCTGAAAGATGCAAAAGCTTATTGTTAGTTCTATGAAAACCGTTTGCATTTTATCTGTTAGTTTAACAAAGTAAGTAGAGCCCAGATTCATTATGCCCATGTACTTTTGTTATTGTTATGGTCTGAATATTGATGCTCCTTCAAAACCCATGCTGGAGTCTAATAATCCTGCGGTATTAGGAGGTGGGGCTTCAGGAAGTGATCAAGTCATGAGGCTTCAACATCATGAATGGGACCCTTACGGAAGAGGCCAAGTAAGACCCTGGCTCCTCTGCCAGATGAGGACATACAAAGTGCCACCTGTGAATAAATGGCCCTCACCAGACACTGAGCCTGCTGGGGCCTCGACCTTGACCTTCACAGCCTCTAGAACTGTGAGCAATAACTTTCATTATTTATAAATTACTCCCCTCAGTCTGTGTTGTTACATCAGTCCTATGTTTTGGGGAAAAGTAGTCTTTCAAACTAAATGCATAAATGATACATATTGATCTATGATTCAGAAAGAACTGAAATTCAGCAAAAGCTGAATGGATGAGGTGTGTGTCGAATGAAACTTTGATAGTGACACAGAGAACAAAGATGCAGATCAGCCTGTCTTCTAAGTTCCACTTTTTCTAAGTCAGTGATGTTCCATTTGCTTTACAGTTGTGGTCATGGAGAAGGCAAACCTCCTTAGGCCCAAACTGGATCTGAGATTTTCTGGCCTTTTGCAACAGGCACAGAAGGACTTTTTTTCTCCTCTCACTTTTGTGATATTACTTTGCCATGCCCACGGGCAGGATGAAAAGCAAACATGGCAGAATTCCCCTTGCCCAGTTTATGGACCTATGTAGTCTCCAGGGTGGCACTTTTCTTCTGGGACACTTGAAATCAGGCTCTCAATTTATAGCTATAATTCTAACTAACTTCTAAATCTAGAGCAACTCCAAATACAGTAAGTTATTTACTGTCCGACCCAGCAAGTATGTAGCTAGAGCTGTTATTTATACTGACTGTCAAAAGAATCCCAGTAAACGCTTTCTTATCTGTTACAAAAAGAAAAAAAGCTGATTTATTGGACTAATATTCCTTCTTGTAAAACAAACTCTTCTGATGTAATTTTTCCACTCATCAAAGCAGTCTAACTTTGCTGCCCTGTTTTGATCGATTTATAAGGAAGAAGGCAGAAAGCTCTGAGTGAAATCTGGCTCTGTGCACAGGTACAGGGCCTCGGGCAGTGTTTTATTTTTGCTTACTCTTGATTTCCTCATCTATAAAGTGAGGAATGATAATGTGTATTTCACAGGGTCTTGTCTGGATCAGAACTGATGGTTTATGTGAGACATTTCTCAAAGTGCTTGGGACTATACTGATGAAGAATTCAGCACATAGTAGCTGCTGTTATTTGTAAGATCACACAATAATATTTCTTTATTTTGTAAGGCCTTCAAAAACTTTGGTCAGGAAGACAAAAATGAATCATAACCTCTCTTTATGCATAAGTGTACCTGAAATGTCAAATCAACAACTACTATATCCAGTAACAGCAAGGTACTCTGCACATGGAATGAAGGATTTCAGCCCACTGATGGGTGACATTTCTACAGCTGCAGAGACAAGGATAGCAGTCTGTAAGGAAGTTAAACCAGCCACCAGGCTATGGGTGAGCAGGCCAGCAAAGGGAGCTGCCTAACCCGACTGACGTCCAAGAGCAGTTCAGACCACTTCCTTATTGCAGTTGCCCACCTAATCTGAATAGTACACTGTCCAAACACCACCACCACTGTACTTGTAGACATGGTCATTTACAATAAGACAAAAAAATAAGAGAGGATTCTGAGGCTGCACCCAGAGTCATTGCTACACCACATCCTGAGAGGCAGGGAAGACCCGGTGTGGCAGAAGCGTTTTCCACGCCTGTGGTCTGGCATTTTCAGGCAACAATGGCCTTTCGAAGTTCAACGTGGAGAGCACACTCTCTGTGGGCTAATCTGTCAACTCCGAGAGCTGGATAATAAAATTCTAATTAACACATTTTATCAAATGATAAATTCCCTCTTGCTTAAGTATCTTCTCTAAGGTATCTATATGTCTCAAGTGTGTAAACAGGTACTGCAGGCAATTATCATTTTGTCCATTCAAGAGGCAGCCTTTATACAAGATCTCACCTCCAACCTGCACAGCCAACCTATGAAACATTCACTTTATGATTACCCACAAAGTATAAACTCTTCCATAGGGCTTAGGCCCCGCAGGACGCAGGCGGCTCCCACACTGACATTTGATGTGAAAGGATGCTGTGGGACAGCAGGTTCTTTTCCCTCCTGCCTGCGCCGTGACAAACATGACAGGACGACAATGTTTATTTGGGCTTTTAAGCTCTTTTGGCTGATGGCTCTATTTAAATATACCTGCAGCAGAATAGGGTAATCAATTTGAGTCATGTTCCTGGAGTTTGAGAACTTAATTGCCTTTATTAATTATTCATATTCTTCAAGCAGAAGAGCCTTAGCTTTATTAATTTTCTGTTCCTGGGAACCACAGAACTGCACCTCAAATGTCTTTATGTTTTACCGCTCAGGTTAAAAAGTTGGAAAATGGAAAATGAAACACAAGGGAAAGAAAGGTGCCCTAGGTGTGGAAACTCAGGAAGGGTGAGCAGTGTAGCCACTCCCCACCCCCGTACTTTCCTGAGGGCCTCAAAGGTTCAGAGGGAAAAGGCAGGCATCACAGGGGTCCAGGTAGAAGGTCCAAAAACAGCACCGTGCTGCAAAGGGGCTCGGCACCGCTGAAAGGCAGGTGCCTGATTCTGCTCCTGTGCTGCTACCCACAGGTTGGGCGGCTGTTACCATGCCAAGCACCACCCCGGCACTCAGGGCTTTCTTCTGCCCACTGTGGTCGGGGTGGAAACGTGATCACCTGTGCTGCTTGGCAAGGTACTCTATCTGGGGACACACACACATGCCCCAGTGAAGTCACCTGGAACAGTCACGTCTGGGCAAGGTGGTAGCTTAAAGGGAGAAGATCCTGACCTCAAGTCCCGCCCAGTAGGGTCTAGACTGAGTGTGTGCATGGGGTGGACAGCAGGTTTGCTGCTTGTTGGTGCTCATTCGTGGCAAGGATGCAGAAGAGGTGACACCAGGCACTTATAGCTCCGCTCTGCCCACAAGGGCTGTCATAGGAGCCCCGTCAAGACACAGCGCCCTATAGTCGTCATCTGCCAGTACTGAGAGATGAGAGTTCAATTCTTTCTAAACCTGGGGACTGCTACTATCTTAAGTTTTGAAACAAAATAAACAACTGTTTGGACGTAACTGCCAGACTAGGTAATGAGGCAAAGAACAGCCGGAACTGCAAGAGACTGAACCGGTCCACTGAAACGCCTGAAAGGGCTAAACCACTACCTTTATTTTAGATAAAATAGGTCTTTTTATGATAAACAGGCATAAGAACTTTGAGACAGCTGAAGAGCCATCATTTAACTTGGGTTACCCTAGACGCTGCATTTCCTGACTTCTGTTAAGCAGAGAAATTCATCACACGAACACAGCTATGTGATTTATGTCTTACATCTCTAAAAAGTTATTCTACATAAAGGAATCTTAAAATTAGATCTATCTTTTGTTTGATCAGATCAGACTTGTTCCTTTTCTTTCCTCGGTTAAATAAACACAGTCACAAACATGAAGCCCGGGACAGAAGTGGCCACCTTCAACATCCAACACTGTCCTGCAGTACAGATTGTGTCCTCACAGAATCACAGTCATGTTACATATTTAGCTGTGGCTGGGGGCGGAATTGTAAGGGAAAGCATTACATAATTAGACTATAATTATTCTGGCATTGTGTAATAAGGAGCTCATTTCCCAGCCTGTAGCAAACAACAGTCACTTGCCCGCCTGGGGGTACGGTGGATGCTCTAAATGTCCTTGAACACCCTAAAGAGCTGAAGGTGCACGAGGTTTGGGCCACTGTCTCACCTCCTGCTGGGCCCAAGTTTGGTAGACCCGGAGCGCTTCAGACCATGCACAAGCACTGCACACACACAAGCAGGGAGGAAACTCAGGTGGGGCTGAGACAGAACCAGCTAACAGCAGCAGATGTGGTGTGGAAGGTAGCAGGAACCCAGAGGGGGCAAGCCTGCCTTCCTGGGCCACCGCCTCCTCGGGTCAAGTCAGCCACCAGCTTCACACTGATTTGTATGGAAAGCAAGAGCCTCTGCACTATGACCTCAACAATGGGTCCAGCTCCTTCGGCTGTTTCCAGGCAGTGAGAGATACTTGGAAACTTGAAGAGCTCTCCACCTGGCGCAGAGCCCTCCACCTTGGTACGTTCTCAGTGCTCTGGGTCTAAGCAGGTTTTGTCAGCACAATCACCTGAAGCCTCTTCCTTATGCCTTGTGTTGGGTGCAATGCTTATTTCCAACTGCCGGACCTGCCTGTACCTGCTTACCGTGACAAGGTGCCCCCCAGGCCCCTGAGGTAGCCCCCAAGACCTGGTCAGGGATCCTCCTGGCATCCACCACAGGCTATCACATGGAATGCTTTCTAAGAAAGCAGCAGCAGTTATTTAAAATGAAATGTGGGAATTGCCTGTTAAACCAGCAAAATGTCAGTCTGTTCCTTTTTTCCTATAGATATTATAAAGAACTTAGCCACACTGTAATCTCTCTTTTTGTTGTACTTATTGTAAAAACATCTGAAATAAAATTACTAAACATTTTTACCCTCAATTAAAAGCAGTAGATATTCAAAAATAAGAACAATTAATGCACATTATTAAAAGCATAAATTACTGAAGTAAAGATAATGTAGTTTCCTAGAAATCTTCTATGAAGTTCACAATGGTAATAAACATACAGATTAAAAAGAAACCAATTAAAAAAAAAAAAGAAAAGAAACCAAGGGATTTAACTTACTTAAACATTCGCGACAGCTTTGGTACTATTCCCCATCAAAGGTCTTGGTAATCAGAACTCCCCAAATCAGAACCTGAATTCCCACCAGTTTGAGATTCTTTTTTAATCTTTTCTATCTAAGAAAAGTATTTGTTCTAACACTTTACTTTTCAGAGCTCTCTATTTACCTAAAAGCAACTTCCTGGACAGGGTGCACCCAGGGAAAACCTGATTCTGGAGCTATTTGCAAATGCATTTTGTTTCCCAAGGACAGAACAGAATTAGGTTCAACTCTGGAAGCAAAACAAGTACTTAAGCTGAGAAGCATAATTATTAAAAGGGTTGGGGACATGGCTCAGTGGTACAGCACCTGTCGGGCACATGTAAGGCCCTGGGTTCAACTGCCCTCTCATTACAGGGAGATGTTATCTCACTTATTTTCTATCCGGCACTAAAGCTACTAGTGACCTCTCTAATAGCGGGAAACAGAAGCCATGCAGGACTTTCCTGCAGGCTGCCAGGCAGTGCTGGGGCCTGGCCCTCCCAGGAGTCAAGAGTAGAGAAGAAGCTCCTCCTGGCCCTGCCCTCTGGCTTAAGGAGGGCAGGCTGAAGAGATCAGGGTCCTGAGGGTGAGCCAAAGCAAGGCCCAGCCAAAGCAAGGCCCAGTCAAAGCAGGGAGATGCTAGGACCCCGACAGTGCAAGAGAACCTGGAAGCATGACTTGCCCTGCTGCCTCTGGGTTTCGGCAGACGCTAAGAATCCCACGTGGGGCTGAGCCAGAAAGAAGCCCATTCTTGAAGTGCCACATGCCTATGAAGAAGCCTAGCATTCATTCCTCAAAGATACTTCATGCACTTAGAGGCCACAGACTCCATGAAAACACTACTTGTGGCCACACAGCAGTACTCACAGTCAGCATAACAAACATACCCACAGGCACCCTCCCATAACAATCCAAGTGGGAGTTCATAAATGTTCAAAGGAGGTATAGAAAGTAGTCCTCAAAGAATATTTTTAATCCTGATCACTTACGCAAAATTAAAATGGACATTTCCTGGGTTATGATTTTAAAACTGCTGTAAATACTGGAAACGTCAAAAAAAGAAATGCTTCCAAATTATTTCATTAAAACCAAGGGGTTTAACTACTGCTGTTGACCAACTGCCATTACCTGTTCAATGGTTTCAAAATCCCTGGGATTCAGCTACGAACCTGTGAATGTCAGCCTGCCAACAGGTAAGATTTTCTAAAGAATTGTTAACCTTGTGGTACTGACTTATTTTGCTACATACCGTAACTTGAACTGTGAGCGAACTTCTCCATGTTCTATTTGAATAAGCTCATTATAGCAAGCAATTATGCTGCTATTCTCCATAAATCTCTGAAAAGAAAGCAGAGATAATACGTAAGACATTTTCAATTATTTCTTAGAGAATCAAACAGAGAAACTGAATAATTGTTCTTACCCCTAAGTAACTGTTACATAAGACATCTAGTAGGTAGAATGAGATGAAATAGAAAAGTTGTCAAGGAGTTTGAAATGCTTGTATAAATCTATGAGGAAAATAGAGCATGTCATACTTACATTTAGCTCCCTTATAATAAAAATGGGATAGACACCATTGTGAGTACAGTACAGGAAAATACCCAGAAGGCCACAGAATGCGTCTAATTACTAAAACAGTTTGGCTTCATATTGCACTAACTAAAATCATCAAATCCCAATAGTCAACATGTGCAGCTCATCCTATACCAGCAGTGATCTCTTCTGAGGGGAGAGGATATTCTTTCTTAATCTTCTGAGTGCCTAATGCAGAACTCATTTAAAAACCAGTGAGCTCAACAAGAAGACAAATGACCCAAGGAAAACTTGGGCAAAAGACTTGAGCAGACAGTTCTCCAAAGCAAATATATAAATGGCCAATAGGCGCAAGAAAAGATGCTCAGCACCTTAAGTCATTAGAGAAATGCAAATTGAAGCAGGGACGGTGAGTCACTTCATACCTGATAGGATGAACGCAGTATTTTTTTTTTTTTTTTTAAAGAAAATAGGGTTGGTGAGGATGTGAGGAATTGAAGTCTTTGTATATTGCTGGTGAGGATACAAAGTGGTTTCGTCACTGTGGAAAATGCTTTGGGAGTTCCTCAAAAACTTAAACTGAATTACCAACTAAATCCAGCAATTCTACTCCTAGGTAAATATTCAAAGGAACTGAAAATAGATCTTGAAACAAATACTTGTATGAACAGGTCCACAGCAGCATTATTCACAACAGTCACAAAAAGAAAAAGCCCTTAAACATATACAAAGCTTAGAAACAGCCCAGTGTCCATCATAAATTGTGGTAGGCACATACAATGGAATATTATTGAGCCATAAACAGTAATGAAACATTGATACATGCCACAACGTGCATGAATCTGATTTTTAAAAATTCTTTATATGTTCTAAACAGAAGTTCTTTGTCTGAGGGACAGTTGGCTAAAGTTTTTTTCCCAATTTGTGGGTTTTCTTTTTACTCTGTTGGTGATTTCTTCTGATGAGCAAAAACTAAGATGAGATCCCAGTTGTTGATTCTTTGCAGTATTTCTCCTGTAGTCAGGTTTATGTTGATGAACCCTCTGCTTACCCCTGGGTATCTGAGATGAATACACACTTCTCAGATGAAGAAATATAAATGGCAAATAAATATATGAAAAAATGTTCAACAACATTGGTCATTTGAGAAGTGCAAATTAAAACAACACTGAGATTCCATCTCACCCCAGTAAGAATGGCTGTCATCAAGAAGTCAACCAGTAACAAATGCTGGAGGGGCTGTGAGGACACACCCACTGTTGGTGGGTGTGTAGACTAGTACAACCACTGTGGAAATCAGTGTGGAGATTCCTCAGAAAACTAGGATTAGAGGTCCCATTTGACCCAGATATTCCCTGCTGGGCATTTTTCTAAAAGAACTGAAAACATCATACCACAGCGATATATGTGTGCCCATGTTTATAGCAGTGTGATTTGTCACAGCTAAGTCTTGGAAACAACCCAAATGCCCATTAACTGAGTATGGATAAAAAAGATGTGGTATTTTTATGCAGTGGAGTATTAGCTATAAAGAAAGATAAACTTGAGGCTTTTATAGGTAAATGGATGCAACTAGAGACCATACTCATAAGTGAAATAAATTAGACCCACATGTGTAAACATCGCATTGTCTCTGTAGTGTTAGAAAATTAAAGAGTAAATAAAATCCAAAAGGTACAATAGATACCGTGAAAGGGAAAGAAACTGCTCAAAAGGAAAGAAAACTGGGGAAAGCAGAAAAGAAAAAAGAAGGAAGGGAAAATATACACAAGATAGGTAAGATAATCATACTGCTAATTTCTATTGGTTTATTGAGAGGAACAGTTAATTGTTTGATCAATTTTGCATTGCTACATCTGGTAATCTGAGCAACTACTTTTAAGATAACAATATGCAATACAACAACCATTGTAATTTCCTATCATCTTGTTTTGAAATTGTGTATCATTTTTATTGGTTTTTTAAATTCTTGTTCTCTTTAAGATAAAAGAAGTTTTTAAAAATTCATGAACCTCAAAAATATATGCAAAAGATAACAAAGTCCCATATTGTATGATTTGATTTTTTTGTTTGTTTGTTTTGTTTTTTTTTCCAGTACCGGGAACCGAACTCACGACCTTGCGCTTGCCAGGCAGGCGCTTTGCCGCTGAGCTAAATCCCCAGCCCTGTATGATTTGATTTAGATGAAGTAACTAGGATAGATCAATCTCTAGAGACAGAATGCAGACTGGTGGTTGCCAAGGCATGGAAGGTAGAAGGAGGAGTTCTGGGAATAACTGCTGGAAAGGAACAGAGTTTCTATTTGAGGCTGATAAAATGTTTTTAGAACTAAGTACAGGTGTTGGTTATACTCACCCAGTCCTACTAGGCATGTGCTGCAGAAGCCCAACACTCCACAGAGAAGAGGAGCCTCTCACACAACTACCCCAGAGCAGCCTGTTGTTCACTTTCATGTACAGGTCCACCACAAAAACGCACACACACTTCAGCAGTCTGCCATGGAAGCCAATGGCCACCACTTCGAGCACCAAAAGTAACTCGTGTTAATCTCATAATGTGTCTCAATAGATTTAGTATTACATTATTTATACAATATTTTCTTTTCCTAATGTGCACATTTTTTGATGGACTCTATTCCACAATACTTGGTGTAGGGCAGACAAGAAATTAAGCACTTTTCTTGCACACACACATCAATATCTAGTGAGAAACAATGACACCAGAAAAAATGGCAAGTAAAAAATAGGAAGAGAACAGATTTAAGGACAATTCTACTTGGGAGTGAGGAAAATGCCTTCCATTTTAGCTTACAGAAATATAGACTGTGCAAAACCTTCTAAGCATATGGGTAGCAAACTATAAGTTGAAAAAAAAAATGAATGGGAATTCCAAAGTATCACAAAAACCCTGGTCACCTCTCCGCCTCTCCAACAGCTAGACAGAGGGGGAGGACACAGGGCACCCCAGAAAGATACATTTCTTAGATTTCCTTCAAACAAGTTGGCCAGAGAAAGAATCAGTCTCTTCCTCCTTCCATCTGGCGTGTGCACACAGCCAGGACTGAATAGCTTCTCCCTAGCGAACACCTTCAAGCCCCGAAATTCTGCTGAGATTTTGATTCCCCAGCTATTCACATGGAAGTGGAAAGGACTAAGGAAAGAGAAGAAGTCACAAGCATATACCAAGGCAACATACTTCTTTTTTATTTATAAAGCAATGTTAAACATGGGTAGGTTCAACTTGCATGTTTAGATAGATGAAAACTGTCTCAGCCCATAATGGAGCTACAAGGGCCGTTCACTGGTATTTTGTAGAAACATTAAGAAATTCTATAATAAAATAGTGATGGGGGTGTACCAGGGATTGAACCCAGGACCTCTGCACTAAGTTACATCCTTAGATCTTTTTAATTTTTTATTTTGAGACAAGGTCTTACAAAGTCACTAAGTTGCCCAGCCTGGGCTCAAACTTGCAATCTTCCTGTCTCAACCCCCCACAATGGTAGGATTACAAGCATACTCCACCATGCCTAGCAGGTAAGTAAGTTTTGATGAAGCTTAGAGGAACACATTAGCACATTTCTTGAGTAGGAGCTCCCAGAGGATTCAATATGCTAAAGGGTAATGCTACTGATATGTACTGTGTATTCTTGGGGAGGCCTCCTTTGACCCCCAAAATTCTTTGACCCCAGAAACCTATTTTCATGGAATACCATAGAGAGATTTGGGAATGCAAGTGTCTCTTTGAACAGTTGGGGAAATACTATTGTAGCAGACCCAACATAGAGTTTGGAATTAATGTGCAGTTGTGTATTTGATCTTGTCATGAATGTGAGCTCTGTTTTGAGTCAGTTCCCTCCTCTGCAAACACAGAGAAAATATCAAATCCCTTATATGTTGAGGATTAAGTAAATCACTTGCCCTGGCCTGACAAATAATAAACTGTGGCTCCCCACTTCCTACTCCACAGGAGGCCTCTTCAGGGAGAACTACGTCCCAGAGCTGAGCCTAGACGTGTGCTGCACACAGTCAGAGCTCCAGGAATCCTTGTTGAGATGAACGAACACCAGCTCAAACAGGAAACAGCACCCAAAGGTGCCTGTATCAGGCTGCAGGTGTCTAGAGAGCTCTATGGGGACCAAGCACTGACAGTCATTGCATGTGCAGGGCTCCAAAGGCGTCTAGGGGAGAAGTTGCGGGTATTTGATGGCATAATCTATTCCTGACTCCTGCTGACAGACCACAAGCAGAAAGGCTGGTCAATCAGCTTGCAGCCCAGCGCTGAGCGTCAAAAAAATGATTTCATACCATCAGAATCACTCAAGAAGGGAAACAACCTCTGAAAGGCAAGAAGAGCTGGCATATTTGGGAGCTGGGAGGAGAGTTGTCAAAGACAAGGTTTTCTCTAGGAACGAACATTAACCTGGAGATCACCACAGCAGTTTCCAAGCCGCATTCACTCAAGGAAAGCTGCTGGTCGCTGGTGCGTCCCTCAGAAAGAGCCCTGGTGACAGGGGCCTGTGGCCCCGTGATGAGTGGCCTTGATCAGACTGGACCCGGCATTCAAGGTGCTTCCACCAAGGGCTCATTCACCATGGCTGACTGCAAAACTCAGCAGCATGGCCAGACCCAGGAGACAAAGCTTTCCAGAGCAGCACACACAGGCTACAGAACATGTAAAGAGGAGACAGCGATCGTTCCTCCCAAGCTTCCTGTGGGCAGATGTACAATCTCTGGCCAGCCGTCAAGATGCTATTGCTCCGAACACCACCAAGCTCCAAGCCACTGGAGGAAGAGTCACTGAGCTAAAAGCAAAATTCTCAAAGGCCATGTTATAGAGCACGAGGTTCTTTCTCCACATCCCCCAGGCAAGGAGGCAAACAGTATTCTCACGCTCGGACAGCCCTGACTCAGGCTGGACAGGCTCAGCGTGGGGAGCTGCTGGGGTGGGGTGAGGAACATGGTATGTAGACCCACGAAGTCTGGGAATACTTTTAGAGTTATTTCTCAGAATATGAACAAGGAAAGAAAGTCTCAGCCAGCATATGGCCTCACTGCTGATTATCCTCTGGCGACTCTCTATATTCAGACTCCCAAGGTGCTCATCCTCCTTGCCCCTGCATGGGACAGCTCTCAGGGCCACTGCCAGCCACCACAGGATGCAGGGAGGTGGCAGGCGCAAAACAGCATGGGGAGGGGGGCCTTCCCAACCAGACGCATCCGCCTTATTCCACATGGCAAGTCACTGTGCTGTCTTCATGCTCTCTTGCCACACTGCGGCCCCCACACCGAAACACCCCAAAGCACCCCACCTGCTCTGCAAAGGCATTTCTGCTCCTCTGCATTTACAACCAAGAGTGAATTGTTCTTAAGTCAGCGACAGCAAAGCACCATCACCTAAAGCACCTGAAGGAATTTCCATGATCCACAGGCATAGGTTGTACCCTGTTTTTAAAGGGATACATTGTACTATGTGATGCACATTATTCGTACCAAAAGCCTAATTACTTACTGTGTTGGCAAGTCTACCTGAAGTAGTCAACCTCAGTGCTAAAACTGAGTATCAGGGTTATTCAAATAGCTGTCACTTAAAGAATTTACCTCTTCCTTACACCAGGAATTGACAGGACGATACAGGTCATTTATTTCAGTTTAGATTATCAGCAAAACTTCCATAGGCCAGCTATGGATCTCTACCCTCTTTTATCCAAAAGGAAGCCTTTTATATCTTTAATAGGAGTAATAAATGTGCTTGCTATGAAAAAATTCAGGCATACAAAGGTCCTCCATAACTTCTCAATAAGAACTTGTTTTCTCTTAACATTATGAAATATACCTCTAAAAAATTTATGTTTCAATTATCCTTTTTTACTCCTCTCCATTTTAAATCAGCTCCATCATCTTCTTTCCATGTTCATGACCACAGTTTTGCCTCCAACCAAACTTTCACCTTGAGATGCCTGGTGAGCCAGTCTGGGAATTAGTCTCCTTGGAATACTCAACCTTCACCTTCAAGTTGAATATCAGTGTTTCTCGTGTAGTTGTCAAAGGACTTTCTTTGGCTGATGCTAATGATATAAGCCAGGAGTTCATGGACGCTGTAGCCAGCATGCCTGTCCGCAGGGTATGAGCACTGCCGCTGCAGGTCGGCAGAGCCCTGTGTGACATTTTGGTGAACTCACCTCCATAAGGCCACACACATGTTGAGCCTGACTGATGGGACCGACTTTCATCAGCTTGCTTTGGGACTACAGAATTTTGATCCGATATAGTACGATGTACTTTTATATCATTCCATATCTATTGCTAAGATATACAAAGCAGTAAGAGAAAAAAAACCTAGCCATCCCACAAAGGCACAGTGAGTCACTTGCCCTGCAGACCCAGAGCTCATTTCCCTTGCCAGCTCTCATGCTGCTCACTTTGCTGCGTGGGGGGACCCGGGGTAAAGCGGCTACCCGAAAGAGGTGCTGGTTCACCGTTACGTACCCGGTTGAAGCCTGCGTGGAGAAGAGGAAGGACTGAGGCCTCTTCATGGTCATCAGATCTGCAGCAAAGCAGAAAACGTTGGTCACTCAGCTGATACAAACCAGGATTCCTCAAACTGAGGAGACACGGCATTAGCTCTGAGAGTGGCTTCCTGACCAGCACATGCCCACAGCGTGCCCCTGCCTTCAGGGACACAGACCCCAGTTGTCTTCCAGCTGCAAACAGAACATAAACAGTGGGGAACACTCCAGCAGTATGCCTGAAGGTGACACTGCCACACACCAGCGAGCTGCCTATTTCACCTCTCCACAGCCCTGTGGGCATGGAGCGTATGTGTGGGAGTAGCTGCATCCTGAGACTGCTGTCCGCAGACCTCCTGGAAGCACCACTCCCACGCCAGGGCCTAGCTGGGTCCAACTCTCAGTGTGAGGAAGCCACCTGTCAGTACTGGCTACAGGACTCCATGCCCAAATGGGAAATAAGCGTCAGCAAGAGCACAAAGTAGGAGGTAGAGAAACAAAAGCTGACCACTGTCACGCATTTTATGAAATGGTGTCCCACACTGAGCCTACAGTTGAGTCTTGAGTACAAGGTAAAGGGGTGGTTTGTCAAGAGGGCTTCCCACAGTGGGGCTGTCACCGAGAGAAAAATGTGTCCCTACACAGCCAGCAAGCAGCATGGGGAACAACCCTGAAAATCCGGGATGAAAAGTGGAATGAAAGGGTCAGGTGAAAATGCCAACAGAAAACAGGAAAAGAAGCTGGGTGTGGTGGCGCAGGCCTGTGATTCCAGCCACACGGGAGCTGAGGTGGGAGAATCACAAGACTGAGGCCAGCCCGAGATATGGAACAAGGAAGGAAGAGAGGGAGGGAGGGAGGCAAGGAGGGAAGACAGGAAGTGAAATTCCAGCGCTTACTTATGGCATTGCCCGTAGCTGCTCCCACCCTACAAGGACATTCTGTCTTCCTTATCCCCTCTTTCCTTCAGGAACGCAAATGACATGCCCTCAGGGGTAGGAAAAGGGCTCCAAAGGGGTTAATAATATTGTATTTCTTAAGCTAGATGGCACTGACACAGACATTCACTTTATTATTACTCTGACTACATGAAATGTTTGATAATAAGAAGCAGAAAAGCACATGAAAATCATAAACAAGCCATAGGAAGCCATTCCTTGTCAAGGACGAGGAATCCCCTGAGAGGGAAGAAGTGCTTCACTGGAGGGTCCACAGAACAGGCCAGGCCTGAAGTGCCATGTGGCCCGGCACAGTTCTGCCACCCATGTCCACGGCTCTCAGACACTGTTAGGATCTCAGAGTGGACAGGAGATAAAGGCAAGAAAACAGGGCCGACAGATGCTGACCCCCATCTCTGTTCTACCAACTCCCTCCCCTTCTGATCTCATCTCCCACCGGGCTGGCAGGAACCATGGGGACCACAGCCTGAGGTAGGTATCGAGTGAAGGAGCTCAAGGAGTAGCATGTGAGTAGGAGACTGGGTCAGAGCAGGACTTCACAGCCACACTCTGCTGCAGGCCGATAAGGCTTAGAAGCACAGTGTCCACCTCTCTCCTGGGCCAGCCTGCCGGGGAGCCCTACACTGTCTCCGGGGAGTTGCTAGCTTATGAGTTCCTCTGTTGCAGACTTTGTGTCGAACACAACCACAGAGCCAAGTCATGCAGGTCTTGCTCTTTCTGAAGCTACGGACAGCCATAAACCAAATACAACTTGTGTTACTGGTAAAGCTTGTAACCAGGCAGCCTGCACAGACAACTTACTTCTCCTGCTGCTCCTTCATTTAAGGGCTGGCCATTCTGGACTGGACAGCCGGTGGAGCTGTCTCTCATCCATTGACCTCGCTGTCCCTACAGCCCAGTCGCTTTTCTTTGCTGTCTGGTATCAACACGAACCACACTGCCCTGCTTTAGCCACACAGGAGCTCCCAACCCACACTCCACAATCCTGCTCTCCGGGTGCAGCCTGTGCCTTTTTGTTCCTGTGCTACAATTTGTTTCTTCTTAAGTAAAAGTTGAGCACTTTTTCCAACCTCCTTTCTTCAAAGAAAAAAGATAAACTGGAACAATGCTCTGTCCAGCCCTCCTCAGCATTTTAGCCATTTCTGGTATATAACGATGATGAGTAAACTTTGTTTTTCCTGATGTGCATGGGAACGTGCTAACCACAATTATATAAGGTAGGAAGAAAAACCTAAACATTTCCTACAATTATATAAGGTAGGAAGAAAAACCTAAACATTTCCTACAATTATATAAGGTAGGAAGAAAATCCTAAACATTTCCAGAAACTTGTGAAGCAAACAAACAAAAAAAGCCCAAAGCAAAGTTGAAAGCTGGAATTTTAGGGCCCACACATGCCCACTACGCAGCTAGCTCAAAACCTGGGTGATGTGAGGCAAACGCCTTAGTGTGAACAGTGCTGGGGTGCTTACACTGGTGACACCACCGCGAGGATCACCGTGTGCTCTGAGGGGTTCGTGGCCCGGATCGACCTGCAAAGACAAAGCTCCAAGTCAAACAAGGTAACCTGTGTTGTATTAAACAGGACTTCTGTTCACTGAAAAGTGGCCCCCGACCAGATCTCCCTCTGGAGAAAATGTCTTAGAACACATAAAAGACAACAAAAAAAGATGCTCCCATGGATTAGGATAATCTCTTCATTTT